CCTCCCTCCCTCCCTCCCTCCCTCCCTCCCTCCCTCCCTCCCTCCCTTCCTTTCTTCCTTCCTTCCTTCTTACTTCCTTTTTTCCTTTCTTTCCTTCCTTTCTTTCTTGTCACGTGCATATGGATTCTTTACCCCTAGAAGGGAAAACACAGCAAGTGTCTCGCCTTCTGTTTCTGTCCAGGTTACTCCGTGGCTGTGGGAGACTTCAATGGCGATGGCGTAGAAGGTAGGAAGAGCTCGGGCTACCATTAACCCTCTCCATATAAGCATCTGAAACACAAGGCACTGGGGATTCCAGCAGTGTGAGGCCCTTGCTATGGAATACACATAGGAAGAGAGTGTGGGGAGGAGGCGACATGGCTCCGCCTGGCAGGACACGATGGAAGGGACCTGGCTTCTGCCCGTGGCACAAGCCTCATTTCCGTTTACTTTGTGTTTTGTTTTGTTTTCCTACTTGCTATAGTGCTTGATCTTTCCATCCCCATTTCATAAGATGGCAAATGACTTCAGAGCTTACTTGCTTGTATTTGAGTTCCTGGCTGGCCTTGAACTCATTCTGTAGACAAGGTTGCCCTCAAGCTTAATCTGCCTGCCTCCACAGAGGTCCTCCTGCTTCTGCCTCCCGAGGGTTGGCATTAAAGGTGTGTGCCACCATGCCTGACATATTTGAGTTTTTAATAATGTTTTATGACTTACAAATTATGTTTTTATAATGTAAGATGCAAGGTAGGTTTTTTTTGTATGCAACATCAATTAAAGAATATCTAGTTCATTTTCTACTGGATTAATAAAATTTAAAGTTCTCTGGCAGAGTACCTACATCTGTAAATTCCAGTGTTTGTCTTAAGAATGAGTAATTAAGGTTTGACTTTTTCTTTTCCCCCCAGATTTTGTGTCAGGAGTTCCAAGAGCAGCGAGGACTTTGGGAATGGTAGGAGTTAAAAATGTTGTTTTTGAACACCAGGGCAGGGGCTGGGGCTATGGTCAGAAGATGGAGAGTTCCTCCTCCCTGGCATGGGGCCTCTCTTTGGATCACCAGCGTGTGTGTGAGTGCAGGCCTGCCACACTGCAGCCACCGTGCTGTGGGTGAGGCGAGACAGGTGGGTGCCCGGAGCTCACGGTCGGCCACCATACTAATGGCTGCCCTCTAGGCTTAGAAAGGGACTGCCTCACAAAAGCACACACAGCGTGGACCTCGGGTCTCCACACACATACACACACCCTGCCCCCTGGCACATGTCTCCACAGACACGTTCACCCCTTCATCTGGAGCTATCATTACCTTCACTGTCTTTCACTTGCTTTTGCTTTCCTCCACAGGTTTATATTTACGATGGGAAAAACATGTCCTCCTTATACAATTTCACTGGTGAACAGGTATGCTATTAAAATCTCGCACCCTATTATAAGAATTGACTGAAAAAAATGTAGAAAGATATTAAAAGTAGAGATATTAAAGCCCTGAGCATCGTAAGCTGACGCAGGCTGAAGAGGGTCTGGTCGCACAGGCTTCAGGCTTTGGTTTTGTTTTTCCGAGGCGGTGGTTTCTCTATATCCTCCTGGCTGTCCTGGAGCTCACTGTGAGGACCAGTCTAGCCTCAATCCTAGACATCCACCTGCCTCTGCCTCCTGAGTGCTGGGATTAAAGGTGTGGGCCACAACTGCTCAGCTGGCTTTTGATATTTTACCTTTGTTTTTAAACAAAAAATTTTGATTCAGCAAATCTTTTTATCTTGCCATATTATAGCTTTTGTTTTTGTTTGCTATTTAAAAAAAAATGAGAGTAAAATTGTACATACATGAAAATGTAGTATTTCCCTATGATGTCATTAAAGTTTCCTTAAAGAATGACCTGTGACATCTTTAATCCCAGAACTAGGGAGGCAGAGGCAGGTGGATCTCTGAGCATTGGAGGCCAGACGGGTCTACAGAGCGAGTTCTAACCCCTTACCCCCAAACAAAGGGGAAAAAATAGAATGACCTGTGTGTGTTAGTGTTATTAGGTGCCAAAAAGCACAACACAGATGTGTGTGTTGCTGATGGTGTATACGCAGTTGTGTGTTACTGATGGTGTATACGCAGTTGTGTGTTACTGATGGTGCATGCGCAGTT